TAGGATTCCTTACTCCATTTTATTAGGTTATGTTCTAAGTTTGGTATTTATAATGTTGGGAATACGTTTGGTAAATTTTGGGAAAAACTTTAGTGAATTATTGAATTGATTTGTATAAGTAATTCATGGAATTGGGAAAGGATGGTTAAATTCATGGAATTGGGGAATTCATTGATTAATGGCATAAATTTGGATAATTGAATCATTTGTCTATTGTGAATTGTGGACATAGTATTTCAGTTTAGAAAATAATCGTTTGGGCTATCGGTGGAGGATAGTCATGATTGTTGTAGACATTGCATGTGGATTAGGAATAACTGGAACTAATCAAATTGGTTAAGTCATTAATTTTGATGTGGCATTGATACAGAAAATACGTGTATTGATTGAGCATTGCATTTGCATACATGTTTGTGTGTGGGAGAGAAGGGATTACTCCACGTTTAGGGAAGAGTAGGGGGATGGACCTCTAAACCGGATTTGTTTGTGGCAGATGGATAGGGGATGGACTCCATTAGCATCACTTTTATGTGTGCTTATTTATATAGAAGTGTTTATTGATAAGTACTAAAATGTGTATCAATCTGGAAGTTATGAAGTGTTTGATTTGAGCTTGAGTCTCATTTGTTTGTTGATATTGGAAGGATAGTGAAAATGATATATGTGATTTACTGTTGTAAGTTTGGCCAGGTTCTGAGCCATGTTGATAAAATTGGAAAGTAAAACGTATCTTAGACAATAGTTGCATAAGACTGTAAAATAAAGTAATTGATTATCTTTGTAACCATCTGTGAATGTATTGCTTTATCATTGCTTATATGTGTGTTTAGTATATTCTACTGGGCTGTGGCTCACCCTTTATGGGGAACATCATTTTCAGGTTCAGGTGATAAACTACCTCCAAGGAATTAGCTTGGGAGGGTTTGGCTTCTGGATTAAAGAAGACTACTTTAGTTAACTGTCTTAAATTATTAGTACATGTAAACATTCAAGCCTAGGCTTTTCTTGTATTGAGTTAGAATTCATATTTTTGTATCCAAGTGTTGGCTTGGAAAGATGTAAGCTTGTAGGGCATTTTATTCGATGATACATGTAATGCTTTTATTTGTAATACTCTGATGAATGATTAATAGATTGTCTTCTTTAAATAATGAATGTCAATGATATATATAATGGGTAAATTTTGAGGGCGTTACACCATTCGTCAACCTTATAAACCCAAACTCAAGTTACAATTTGTCAACCTTATAACTGTGAATGGCGAAACGTAGAAGTGATATTTCAACTTGGTTTAGAGTGTGAAGGGTTGATTGTCAAAATTAAAAATGAAAGAATTAAAATGAAATTATAGTAAAAGTATAAAAGTGCTATAATTAACAATAATTTAAAATTTTAAAAAAATAAAATTATTTGAGTACCTAAACCGAAATCCCCAATCTTGATATTATTGTTTTTGTCCAGAAAAATGTTCGTTCTAGTAAGATCGCGATGAATGACGCCCTGATGATGAATATGCTCCACACCTTCGACAATTTGGCGAAAATAACGCCAAATGGTATCTTGATCAATCTGATTGTCCAACTTTTTGGACAAATCCAATCGTGCTTGCAAAATCCTGAAACACATATGATTTGAATAACATGGCACGTAATGAAACATTCACTAAACTAATAGTTAAACTACTATCATACATTTTTCAGAATCTGCATCGCAAACTTTTGAATATCAAAATTCAACTTGAAAAGAACTACACACAGGTCCAAAACGATTTCAGCATATAGCCAACGAATATAATTTTTTTGGTGAAACCAAATGGAGCCCAAGTCTCACTTGGGCACAAAGATTTTTTATATGTAAATGGTATTAAATAATGACACAATAAGGATGTTCACATTTTGATGCAGTCTTTAGTCTCTGAACTTATGGTTGGCAAATATTCAAAAGTAATATTGCCCCTTCCCTTTTTGTGTTGATGTCCAGTTTCCATTGTACCAAAAAAATTAAATACAATAAATTAAGTAGTTGAAAATAGTGATCTTACTAATTTTAATCCTCTATTTCATGCATGTAAAAAAACAGAAATCCAACCTATATTGTCAACTATTCTTTTTCCAAAATTAAATTGACCCCCCAAGTCTTGCTACAAGCAACTACTATCAGACATTAAAAAGATGCAAATATGTATAATTTTTGCATGTGGATTTAATTTGATCTTTATAATTTTTATTGTATTAATGTTGTCCCTTAATTGTTTATTTTGTTAATTTAATTCGATTAATAACATTTTAAGAAGTAGAATAGAAATCAACGAGAAAAAAATAATATATTGAAAGGGGAATTGACCATCAAATTGGATGACAACCCCTCAATTTTATTGTTCTTTTAGAAAAAGAGTGAATAAACACTATTTTACCCATTGATTTCAATTCAATTTTCACATAGGTGTTCTATTAATAGAGAGTGAAATTTTTAAAAACAAAAATTGATGCAATTAGAAATCACAAAAATTGAATTGATATGAGAGACAAACTTTAAAGACTATGAGTGTAATTTTTCCTTGTAGAAATGCTTACGAGGGACAGAACTCCATTTGAATATATAATGTTGTAGTCGGTTTGTCTGAATCATCTGAGGATGACAAATCTTGGTCGCTTTGTGATTTTTCATCTATATGGCCTTCCTCAATCCATGCCTGCAAAAGTGGATTATTAATAGTTAAGATAGGAGTTGAAATTATATATATTATGAGTGCAATCTATGTGTATGGCAACAAGAGTAGAAGGATTAGTTTTTTTTACACCTGATAATAGCGAATGATATGTTGGTGTTCCATTATCGATAGAGCAAGCACCTCACTATACATTTAGAAAAAAGTTAGAAAAGAGAAATTCAAAATATCTTGATGTCATCAAAAAGATCAAATTTGTCTCACTTCCACACTTTTTCGCGCTCTTCCTGGTCATTCTTAAGTGGTATTTTCTTAATTGCATAAATTCATTTGTCTACCAATATTTTGCATTTGACAACTTCGCCAAAGTCACCTTTTCCTGCAAATTTAACGTTCAGATTTCCAAGGACAATAACTCCAAAAAAAATTCGCATGAACTCTCTGTTTTTAAAACCTAAAAGGCATCTTCAATTGGGCCCATCTAGTTAAGCAGGTATGCTCTTATGAATAACTTCATACATTCATATGTCACTCGCAAAAACCATAATTTGAAATATAAAAGGAAGCCATAAAATGAAAAAATCAAAACCCAATGGACAAGTTCTTCTTTTCTCAAGAATACAAGAATAAATAGAGGATAAATGTAGAGAAGACAAATTGAAATATCCATATACCAAGTTTTTCAGGCACCATAAAATCAGTATGCAACCGAGAGCTCATATCTCCATAATCATAAGCGAGCTGCCAAAATTCAAAAATTGATTGATTAGTGCGTGTAATATTAACCCTATCTTCAATGAAAACAACAAATTCGGAGCAAATACACTAACACAGTATAACAATGTTGAACAGAATGAGGTATAATTCATAACTAAAATCACTAACTTCGTAATTAGGGCGTATTATCTCTACCACTTAAGAGGTATATGTGTTTTCCGATTTTAATCTCCTATTGCACTTTCAATGGAATATCAGGTGAAAATATATCAAAATTGGACCCCTCTAAGATAATAAAATGTTGATATCTTACAGCTTTATTGTATTAAATTAATGTTCCAAACCAAAAACAAGGATATTTTCACTAGAATTGTAGAAGTAACATTTTCAATTCCATGACAGATTTAACTAGCAATTTTAGAATCAAATTTGTCATTTATAATTTGCGAATTCATAATTAAAGCAATACAAAGTTTCATAACCAAAAGCTAATTCAATTAATCACAAAACACAACAAAGCCTTATGACCAAAATTATTTCAAATTTTTTATCCAATGGATATATATCAGTAGAAGTTAAGGGTTAAGTGGAATTGACAAGAGAGAGGGTCATTTATTGGTTGGCGAACCAATCTACATGCCATCAAACTACAAGATCTTTCGTCATTTAAACTCGTAATCAATCACCACTAAACTTTATATTCATCAATCGTAATTCTTGAATCCTATTCACAATAGTTCTATAAACACACAGCGTATATGTATTCATCAATGAATTAAGAACCGATCTCGAGAAATCAAAAACATAAACGTGTAAACCAATAACTCTACATAAAAATATCTGAATGTAGCGTGATCAACTAGAAGCTTAGGATGTGAGAGAGAGAAGAGAGAAAACTTACGTCAAATCTTTGAGAGAACAGAGCTTGATCTAAGAGAGCTTGAGAGAACTGTGTTTCTGTATGTATATATATATATTATTTAGAATCAAACTTCTTGATGGTGCTCTGATTCTCCTCATTCAGTCAAAACAATCCTAATTCTTGAATCAAAACATCACAATATATGGAAATTATATTCATCAATCGTAATTCACAATAGTTCTATAAACACACACTGTATATGTATTCATCAATGAATTAAGAACCAATCTCGAGAAATCGAAAACACGAACGCCTGTACATAAACATATCTAAATGTACAGCAATCGACTAGAAGCTTAGGATGATAGAGACAAGAAAAAGAAAACTTACGTCAAATCGTTGAGAGAACAGAGCTTGACTGAAGAGAGCTTGAGAGCACTATATTTCCGTATGTATGTATATATATATATATATTTGAGGTTCAGGCTTAGTATTAACAGACTTTCCCTCCCAAATTTAAAAACACGTGCTGAGGGGTAGCATTTAACCGCCTCATGACGCAAAACTGTTTTAGGAATAAATTGTGAGGGTAATCTTGTTATACAATCCAACAAATTCTCTAGACTAATGTTGTATTTGCCATCTATTTTGTAATACCTTTAAAAAGTATTGTTTGATTTATTAAACTAAAATGTTATAAAACAGTTATTTTATCAAAATATTTATTTTTATCTTTGGTTGACAAAAAAATAATAATAAATACATTGTAAATAAAATCATTTTTCACCATTATAAGAAAATGATCATTCCATAAATGAGCTTAAATCATTTAATTTTATTTCATCTCGTTTTTAAGATTAAATCTTACGTTTTAACATTCTATTAAAATTAAATACGTGTGGTCAGACTCATTTCATTATAGGTCTACTTTGGAAAGATAGAAATAAGTAGTTTTTTTTGCTTATTTTCTTGTTTTTTTGACTTATTCACAAAATCATTTGGTAACAGAAGAATAAGTAGTTTTTTTGCTTATTTCAAAATTATTTTAAAGACGAATTACATTAATAGTCCTTATAGTTTGGGACTTGTGTCATTTTAGTCCTTGACCTTTCAATTGTGATACATTTAATCCTAAATTTTGAATCTCGTTTTGAATAAGGACAATTAAAGACATTATTGTTCCATTTCAAGGGCAAAGTTCTAGCGATTCCGGGTTTTTCCTCCTTTGGTTGTTGTATCCGGACTTAGTTCCATGGATGTTGGTTGTTGTTTTCACCTTATTTTTGTCCTTCAACTCTTTAAAATTGAGTTTTGGAATGTTTTGGGCAGGTTCGTTCAGGTTGGGTGTGTTTGGAAGCAAATGGTTGCTGTCCAGTTTTTAACCTCTTCGCTCGAGCCAGGACTTTGTCGCTCGAGCGAGCCTTGAGTTGTTTCTTCTTCACTCAAGCGTGGGTTTGTACACTCGAGCGAGCTTTGTGTGTTTTCAGGTTTTTGTTCAGACGCAGCCTTGGCTCGAGCGAGCTTTTCTTCGCTCGAGCGAGCGAGCTGTGTGTTTTGGGTTTCTTCGCTCGAGCGAGCATTCTGTCGCTCGAGCATGCTTCCGGGTTGCAGACCTGAAGCTTTGTGTTGTTCGCTCGAGCGAGGCTTTGTGAGCTCGAGCGAGGTATTCTTGTGTCGAGCGACCACTTCTTCGCTCGAGCGAGGAACGTATATATCAGTTCGCAGCAGCAGCTTCTTCTTCTATTTTTATCCTCTTTCTTTTTGAAAACCCTAGATCGGCTGCTCCTTCTCTCTCTACATACCTTCTCTCTGTAAATCCATCTAGCTCTAGTATGATTCTAGCCTAGTGCCTTTGTAAGAAAGGTGGAGTTTGGCGTGGCCTTCATCTTGATTCGAAAAAGTTAGATTTTGCAGCACTTCCGAGTTTTGCTCTTCTTCTCCTTGGGTTCTCCATTTGAGGTAGGGATTTCCTTGTTCTTTTGCAATGCCTCGTCTATAGATAGACATGTGGTAGTTTTGTATTGCATAAAAATCATATCCATTTTGTTGGGTTTGTTGGAAAATCATGAGGGAACCTAGGGTTGGTTGATTGGGAATGGTTTTATTGTCATTGGTTATTCTTTGGACTATTGAGGAAGTAAAATAGCATGTTGTTGTTGAAATAAAGAAAAGCGCTAAATTATATTTTGAGTTGATAAATTAAAAGAGGGCATGGTTAAGTATATTGGTAAATTTCCATTATTGTTATGAGATTGTGTAAAAGGCGCTAACGGTTAAGGAATTAACTATGGCATTAGGGTCATCTGAAATGAATATATTGAACCGAGTTGGGTTGTAGATTTATCATCAATAGAGCCGGGTTTTGTACAATGAAAAGAATGGGTTTGACTGTGTAAAATGAAAGGATTGAAATTGGTTTTTGAAATGGGAATAGTGTTTCAGAATAAGTAACAAAGTATGTTGATTTGGAAAATTATGAAAGGTGATTTTGAAAAGTGGAAAATATAATGTTAACTCTACGTGAGTCTCAGAAAATAAATATCTGAATTGCATTATTGTATCATGAGTGTTGAATACACGCATTTGGGGAATTTAAATTTGTAATTGGCGTGCTTGTACCATTGTTCGGTTTAAAACCTCATGATAGTTGAGTCTTTTAATAGATGTACTAAATACATGCATCTAGAGGTTTTGTCCTCGGTCATCGGTGGAGAATGACATTGTTGTATTGAATTGTTGTGTTTGCATTACATCTGTGTCTTTTGAACATTATATGTAATGAAGTGTTGAGATATGTATTACACTTGTCGGTTGTGCCTTGTCACATTGAGATGGTTGATGTTACGTACCGCACTTATAATGAGGGGTACCATTACCTTCCAACTAGCGCCTGGAGAATGTGGACGAGGTACCATTACCTTCCAGCTTGTGCCTAGAGAATATGGAGGAGGTTCCATTACCTTCCAGCTTCTGTCTGGAGAATGTGGACTGGATGTCGTTGCCTTTCAGCCTTTGTCTGAGGAACGTGGCTTATCATTGGTTGTAGGTGTATCCTTAGCTTACCTTGCCTTGCCTATCGCAGGTAGAGCAGAGTTGTTAACATTAATATTTTAGTGTATCTGAGTATATCATGGATTGTGATGGGTATAGTATTGGAGGGCCGAGTTGCCTCATTTGTTGCTTATACGCACGTTGATGATTTGTTATCTCCTTTTTATTTAAGGGCATGCATGTGTAGATTTGAATGTATTGAGAACAAACCAAAATGCCATTTTGAGATTTTGAAAAGTGTGAAGGAAATTGAGTATTTGAAAATACGTTTTGAAAAAGGCCATTCTTTTGTAAGTATGGAAAATGGAAGAAAGTAATGGGCTTAGTGAAATTATTTCCTAAGAAGTTGTTAATCTCATGAAAATTTGGGATTAAGGGATAATGAAAGGGAATGAAAGATGAATTGCTTATACGTTGAATGAAATGACTGATTTTAGAAAAAGTTCATACATATGTATATTTTGTATAAACTGTCACCTTACTATTCTAGTATGAGATTGGGTGTTCATGATCATAGCTATCTGTAAGTTGTTATTGTTAAGGATCATGTTGAGATCCCTACTGGACTATATGCTCATCCCACGTTGTTGAATCTTTTTCAGGTATTAAGCAGGATATGCTACAAGATTTGGATCTTCTTATTTGTTGGCCACGGGGCCTCTTTTGTGTTGGCGGAATGCCATTGTTGTAAGAGGGTTACACCCTTCTTTTGATTCTTTAATGTTGTAAGCCTACGGGCAGTTTATTTAGAATTCTCATGTCGTACTTAGTTTGCATTCGTATGGGAGAATTATTGTTTAACTCCACTAGTCGAATATTTGAGCTTATTTCCACATGCTGTCTCTGAACTTCATTTAAAGTACTGGATTTGGTAATGATTTCGAGAAATAAAAAAGTGGGGCGTGAGAACTTGGTATCAGAGCGAGCCGGGTTTGAATACTTTGGGCTCGTGGGAAGTGGTTTTTACCACAGTGGGTTTACTACGTATGGTGAGGGCGATGCATATAGATAACCTGAATGTTAGGACTTATGTGTTGCATTTATGTGAGCATGGGGTTAAGTTTCCTGGGTAGTATTTCATAGCCGATGAACTTGCTTTGAGATCCTTTTGGAAACACGCTTGATCAATGTGGTTTCTGATAGGGATTCCTTGAGAGTTCCGGGATGAGTGGCTATCTTTGTGGACTTGATTCGATTATGTGTTAAATTGTCTAGATGTTTATATGCAATGGAGATGTATGTGTTGAGACTAAGTGCATCTTATGACTTAATGGTGGTTAGTGTGTGTGCCTCGGAGAAGGCTATTGTGTTATGCACTAAGTGTGTTTTGCTTTTGTGCTTTATAGGATG